TTGTGTCGCTAAAGTTTCATCGGAAAGAATTTTTACGGAAAATTAACTAACGACCGGAGGCGTAACAATATTATCATACTTTATATTATCATACTTTTGTCTCTTTGAAAGAGGTGTCCATGCGACAAATCTACCATAGAAAGAATATTTCACTTTAATATCTGTGTTATCTCTAATTCCGAGTACAAAATAAAAAAATGTATTTCCTCGAACTCGAAATAAATCTGGGAATACAGTAAATATTTTGAAGACTGTGTCTTTGAAAATGTTTGTTTGTTTTTTTGTTTTTGGAATTTCGCGCAAAGCTACACGAGGGCTATCTGTGCTAGCCGTCCCTAATTTAGCAGTGTAAGACTAGAGGGAAGGCAGCTAGTCATCACCACCCACCGCCAACTCTTGGGCTACTCTTTTACCAACGAATAGTGGGATTGACCGTTACATTATAACGCCCCCACGGCTGAAAGGGCGAGCATGTTCTTTGAAAATGAGTCGAAAATTTTTGTCAAACGCGGCAGTAAAATAATCATATTTATTTCTCACTATTCTTATTCAGATGTGTAGTTTTAGCGTCTATAAATGTCGTAGTATAAACATAATGATACGTAAAGTATATAGCGTACTTTTATGCTTATATTAGCCAAATATTACTGTGAGTCTGAAGAGAGTCCGGCCTGCGATAAGAAGGTCCACAGGTCGAATCACTATATGGCGTTGAACAGCCACATACCTTCAACTGTAGAAGGCGTTATAGCGATGACAATCACTCACGCTATTCAGCTAGGACTAGTCACATAATAGGCGCCGGGTGTACTGTTGTTGACTGGTTTCCCTCCCTCTGAAAGCATTTCTAATCTAAGGATGACTATGTCTAAATCTTAAGGATCTCTGACCTGGCTATTTAGCCCAGGTGCTGCTTAAGCTGAAAATACCAAAAACCAAAGCGCTGATAAGCGCTCCACTTTTTTTTTCTGTTTCTTTTTTCTTTAGATAAGAATTCAAGTGATTTATCACAGTAGATCTGCAATTATACGAAATCTATACTTTTGTATCTTGAACTTTACTGATATGAAATAATAAAAAATATTAAGTTATAATGTTCCACAACTCAGATAGTACTTTTATTATAGCTATAAATAAGCTAAAACGTATAGCGATAAATAGTTATTAAAATATGTTATGTTATGCGGAGAAAACAGAAATATGAAATACGAGGTGGTGCTATGAAGAAATTTTTTATTATAAATAACAGTTGCAAAATAACTAAAGGGGTCTATATTCTGATATTTACTTCGTGAAAGCCGGGAGTCGTAAGCGAAGTACTAATGTGTACAATATATTAAAACGGAATAGTGCTCCGCATTTTAAGGTGTGGTGCGTATTAAGAGTGACGGTCAAATCCCACTATTTGATCAGAGTAGCCCAAGAGTTGATGGTGAGTGCTGTTTACTAATTGTCTTATCTCTAGTCTATCAGTTCAAAATTATGGACGTCTAGCGCAGATATTCCTCGTGTAGATTTACAGAAATATCCGAAACAAATACATAAAAACTGTGTAACTTTATATTACTTACGTATTGTCAATAGGAAGCATTGAAATAAATAACTATCTATTGTGAAACTTTTGAGGTTATATTTGTTTTAATTACTCATCAAGATATACATTCATCATCACTTTCTTTAACATAATGTTGTAGTGCATCTGACTGTAACGATAGTGACAATATAATTACTAAGAACAGTAAATTTTTAATACCTATCAAACTGATATTTTAAACAGTAGCACTAGTCGGAAGGTAGCATATCAGGAACAATTCTTTGCTGTACTATTCTCGCTAATGAAAGATCGTTGCCTAACAGCCATTTTATTATCGCAAGGGCCTCTTTTGTTATGCAAATCTAATTATTGTTCCTCGTGTTGCCTGTCGTCTCTTAAGGTTTCAATTTCGTGAAACAACTATTATAGTAATTATATATATGTAGTCCAAAGAAAGTTTGCCACGATCTGCATATTCAACGTTATATATATTAACCATGCATAAAAATAAATTGTATGCGTATAAAGATAATTTAATGTCATTTACGTGCTGCCCTTTTGAGTCCTCTTTATAATTAACTTATGCAAGAAAATAACTAATTATTGAACAGGTCTAACATGCAATATTAATAACTAGTTTAATCGATCTCTTGCGTTCGTAAAAATTATTTTTACCAGAGTTTACTTGTTTTTTTTTAAGTGCAAAACTACACAATGGGTTATCTACGCTCTGTTCATTGCAGGGAATCGTAAACTCACCGCTA